TGGTTTGGTTTGGTTTGGTTTGGTTTGGTTTGGTTTGGTTTGGTTTGTTCAAGACATGTGTAGCCATGGCTGTCCTGGAACTCACTCTGTAGACCAGGCTGGCCTCTAAATCACAGAGATCTGCCTGCCTCTCCTGAGTGCTGGAATTAAAGGCGTGTGCCACCACCACCTCACTGGAAAAGAACATTTGACATCAACTTCTGGCTTCCACATGCACCTGTGTGGACAAGTGCACCCAGACACCACACCCCCCCCAAGCACACCCATGCGCATGAACACACACATGCACACAGCTTCAGAGAAGCACGGGTGAGCGCAGTTTATTGGCGAGCTTACAGACCAGGCAGGGCGGGACGCTTCCGCCGGAGCTTCCAGGGCCACGCCTCAGCACTAGTGCAGCGGGTCTACATGTACAGCTTCAGCCTCAGGCCAGGGGCCGCTGTGAAGTGGAAGGTGCCGCTCCACTGCAGGCCTTGGATATCGGTGTATTCTCCCTCACCTTCCACTCTGCAAACGTCAGAAGCGAGCCTGCTCATTCATCGGGACTGGTCACCCACAGTCCAGACACAAGCTATCTGGCCCAGTGCACTGTGTCCCCCGTCTGAGGCCCTTACCTCTCCACTCCCAACTTCCATTAAAAACCATGAGGAAAACACACGATTTCAAACATACACTGGCTCTGTGCAAATTTTGGTGCTCATGGTTTCAGGGTCAAATAAACTAACTTTATATAAAACCAAGCAATTGGCTAAAACTTGAAAATTGGGTATTGGTTATCTGGCTCAACTCAAACATTCATTTATTTAACAAATATTTCTCTGTCATCAGCTGTGCTTGAGGTGCTACGCTTGGGTGGTGTTTTAACCCCACAGGAGTAGTGAAAACATGCTCCTATGCAAACAGGCTTTATCCCCCAAATTAGCTTTTTCTCACATTATTAATATCAATAGAGACAGTTGATGTGTCCTTGTTACAAACCTGGAGTCCAAACAGGTGGATACTGTTCTGTCCTAGAAATGTATTCACACTGATTTCATAAGTTAGATAACATTTTCATTTCTAGATATATAAAAGAGATATTCATAAACTTTTACTTTTTGAGACGGGGTCTTGTGTAGCCCAGGTTGGCCTCAAACTCTTCATGTGGACTTGGGTGACGCTGAACTTCTGAGCCTCCCGCCTTGACCTCTCAGGTGCTAAGATTTCAGGCACGTGCTGCCTGCCAGGCCTGGCTGATGTGCTGCAGTGTTTGAACCTGAGGCTTTGTGCACACTAGACAAGCACTCTACCAACTAAGCTGCAGCCCTGGCTCCATAAGAAACTGCCGGGTACTGTGTCATCTAGTGCAATTAAGCTTATAAAACTATACTTGTGCTTCTTTTCACTTGTTATTTTTTCTGGAACCATATGCTTAGAAAGGACACCAGTAGATACATTTCTAGTTTTAACATCATCTAATTTGCTTATACTTTAAAACTATCATAATAAGCCCGGTGTGGTGGTGCATGCCTTTAGTCCTTGAAAGGCAGAGGCAGTCAGATCTCTGTGAGTTCAAGGCCAGCCTGGTATACAGAGTAAGTCCAGGACAGCCAGGGCTACACAGAGAAACCATATCTATCACACATTTTCCAGTCACTCTACGCTAACAGAGATCACAGAGGCTGAGTGAAAAGTTTAATAATCAGCTGGGAATGGTAGTGCATGACTTTATTCCTAGCACTGGGGAGGCAGAGGCAGGGGTGTTCTGAGTTCAAAGCCAGCCTAATCTACAGAGCGAATTTTGGGAAGGAGGCTGTCTAATAATCTTTACCAAAAGTGATATTTCATATATATATATAAAGCTTCCCCCTCTTACATTTCCCAGCCACTAAAATTAACTCAGCCATTTGTGGAGACAGAACAAAGATTAGTTAACAAGCATGACTAAAGAGAACCTTTTAAGACTGTAATTATTCTTAAAATTTAAGGTTACCTATTTTCATTGAAATTTCCAGTGTATTTTGCCCCAGATGGGAATGTGTAAGTTCCCAGTCCATGAAACATATTGTCCTTGAATTGTCCTTCATACACAGCTCCTGAAAAATGCTCAAGTCTTCCAAAGCCATTCATCTGTGTGTAAGACAGGAAATGCTCAGAAACCAGCCTTCACTGTATACAAGCTTCTGGATGACATTATCTTCATCAGCTTTGTTTCACTCCTTGTTTCCACAAAAGCAGACATTTTACCATTATTCTCCCCCTGTGTCTTTCTGAGCAGCCTACAAACTCAAATGTTCTAGAGCTGGGGTATCTGAACATATGGGGGCCCGAGGCAATGATAATCTGGATCCTCAAGATACCTACAGCAGAAGTCTTAAAGAGCAACTGGTGCAGTCACTTCAGAAAACAGTACACAGTAGTCGTTAGGAATGAGAATGTGGCTCAGTGGGAAAAGTGCCTAATCATAACAGGTGGTCCCGAGTTGAGTAAAGAGCTGGTCAGGAGGTTGACTAGAAGGCTCAGGAGTTACGGTGCTTGCTGTCAAGTCTGACAGCCTAAGTTGGATCCCAGGGACTCATGGTGGCCAGAGAGAACCATCTCACCTATGCCGTGGCACTCTCACACAAATAAACAGATGTCACAGCTTTTAAGTATGAACTTGTATTCAAGTAACCCTGGGTACACATTCCTACTTTACCATTTACCATCCGTATAAGAAACCTGAGTCTGACTTGTCTCATCTATAAAGGAGTTTTAATGGTACCTAACTCAAGAGGTTGTCAAAGACTAAATGGAAAAAATTAGTGTGTTTGGCTTTGCTCAGTGAATGGGAGCTGATGAAAATAAGATTAGCTCTCTTCATGAGCTTAATATTACGCATAGAATAGCAGGTGCTAAGTGAAGCCATTTCTCTACTTATAAAGTCTAACTTGAACACAGATCTCATGATGTAGCCCAGGAACCTGAAACCCTTGTGCCTTAGGCTCCTACATAATACATTAAGAAACTAGCTTTAATGAGTGCACTTTGGACTGATAATGTAATGTTGAGAATCATTTAGCCTATGGGATTATTTATCCACTACCAAAATTAAAGACGGTACCTTGTCATCTTTCCAGCTTCCTGTGTAGACAATTCCGTTAGGCGTGGTATGGATGCCCATTCCGTTTCTCTCATAGCTCCCAGATTGTGTTCTAGTGCAGTCACCATCTATCGAGGAAGGGAAGCTCTGAAATGGGGACTATGGACTGGGGTGACATAACAATTATGCCAGAGCTTAGTCAAACCAGCCTGAACCCCTCATGTCGGTTTTGTTTGGCCTTTTGTTAGGGCCAGAGTGGATGACACTCCATGGTTTCTAAGGAATCCTATCTAGAGGGAACAGTTTTAAACTTAAATATCTATTCATCTATTGGGGGATCTGTTATTTCATTTAAACATGACAATATGCTAATAGCAGTTGTATCAAATGACTTAGTCTCATTTTTAAAATTCTCAACTATTGAATTTCCTATATGTAAAAGTAATTAAAATGCATGCTTACCATACTTGTCTCCATTTGGAAATATAAACTCTATCCTATACACTTCTGACGATGCTTTAAGAGATTAAAGAAAATATGAGTAAGTTGAAATATTTTAATGTTACAAGACCTACAAATAATCTGCTTTCAGCACTAGTCAAATAAATTCTCTTCACACAGTTGCAAGTATCTTCTGACTGCCATTTCCACTGTCTGGTGTAGGGTCCTGAGGAAATAAATAATCTTGCCTAGATGATCCATTTTAACTTACTTCATAAACTTTTATTAGTATAAAACAACTCTTTTAGCCAGGCAGTGATAGCACAGGCCTTTAATTCCAGCACTCAGAAGGCAGAGGCAGACAGACTTCTGAGAGTTCCAGACCAGCCTGGTCTACAGAGAGATTTCCAGAACAGCCAGGGTAGAAGCCAGGACAGAGAAACCCTGTCTCAAAAACAAACAAATAAATAAGTAATAAAATAAAATTGACTTTTTGGCAGGGACAGCATTTCACTAACATAACCCTGACTGATCTGGCACTAAGTAGACTCTGTCTTGAAAAGAAAAACAGAGTCAGGTGTGATAGCACACACCTCTATTCCCAGCATGTGGGGAGACAGACACAGGTGGATCTCTGTGAGTTTGAGGTCAGCCTGGTCTACAAAGTGAGTCCAGGACAGCCAGAGCTGCACAGAGAGACCCTGTCCCAAAAGAACAACAAAAACACAAACAAAGTTTTGGTTGTCATAAGTGTATGAGTGTTTTGCCTGCACATGTGTATGTGTACCACACCCATGCCTGGTCCCTCAGAAGTCAGAAAAGAGCTTAAGATCCCCTGGAACTAGAGTCATAGATGCTTGTGAGCCAGCATGTAGGTGGTTGGGAATTTGCAGGTCCTCTACAAAAGCAGTAGTCTTTTTTTTTTTTTTAAAGATTTCTTTATTTCATGTGTATGAGTACTTTGCATGCATATATATGCACCACCCGAATGCCTGGTCTCTCAGAAGTCAGAAAAGAGCAGGTGGCTGTGAGCCACCGTCTGGGTGCTGGGAATTGAACCTGAGTCCTCTGCAAGAACAAGTGCTCTTAGCCACTGAGCCATCTCTCCAGCACCAAATACTATTATTTTTTTGTATTTTTAGGAATATGGCCTTGGGACTGATAACCATAGCCCCTTAGGGTGAAAGGAGTAGGGTTATTAGGATCCAAAGCCTAAGCTCTCCCAAGGCCCTGACCCAGGCCTGCCCAGCTCTGCCAAGCATATTTCTGTCTTTAGAGAAGGAGCTATGTTGTATCTCTGTACATCAGGGCTTTAGGGAAAAGCTCTCAGGGTCCTGGCCCTAGGCTATTACTAGCTCTGTCAAGCATGCCCCTCGTTTTGAGAAGGAATTATGTTCTTTTTTGTATGCATCAGAGCATCAGGAAAAGCCTTGAATTGGCCCAACTCTCAGTGAGAAATAGAGATACTTTTAAAATACGAAGTTGTAAAGGGATAGAGACACACAACAATGTTTATCAGATTACCAAATCTGCTTTCAGTGCCCACAGGAAAGATGCTGTACTCTCCCGAAAGCATCTTCCTTGGCTGAAAAACAACCACTCATTCTGAAGCTGGAAACAGAATACAGTAGTCCATGCTCTGGCATTAAGCTACCTATACTCCATCATTTTCTTTGGCCTTAGGCAAATGGCTTACCCCTCAGTTTCCTCATCCTCACCATTAACGAACTGCATAAACCTCGATAAGTCGCACAGGCTAGTGTCTAATCCTGTAGATACTACCTTCTGGTACTCTGCAGCCCTAGCTCAGATATGGTCTCTTTCCCAAAGCCTTTCTTATTTTTTCTCATCCCTAAACTCATGTCCAGGACTCAGGGTCCTATTGAAACAATGCTTTTGTGTTTGCCTCCTATCATACTCACCTCAATTAGATACTCATAGATCAGTATCTTCTCATCCTACCGAGTATTTAGTGCTAACAGAAAACGCTCAGCTAGAGAATGAACAGCCCTTGGGACACAATCGTTAAGCACTACTAAACACAATCGAGATACAGGGAACTGAGCAGTCCTCAACTGCTCTTCACATTTCCACATTTGACGAGTCCAGTCTGTGCAGTTTTATTTTGGGGCAATTTTCCCATTTTTCATTTGTTTTAAACAATGTTTTTTGTTTTGTTTTGTTTTTTTGGCTGATAGTCATGAGAGAGTAATACTTTGAACACTACTGAAAGAAACTCCTATCTAAGAGAATGCATTTTTCTGTGTAACAAGCCCTGGCTGTCCTGGACTTGCTTTGTAGACCAGGCTGGCCTCGAATTCACAGAGAGCTGCCTGCCTCCTCTGCTTCTGCCTCTCTGTCTCTCTCGCCCCTCTCTGTGCCTCTCTGCCTCTGCCTCTGGAGTGCTGGGATTAAAGGCATGAACCATCACCATCACGCTATGTCACACCATCCTTTTGGCCCTCTGCTGGAAAGAAGAATAAAGTCTCAAATGCCTTTTGTGTCCTCTAGTGTTACAAATGTGGGGCAGCACTGTGTCATTCTTTTGTGAATGTAAAATACCTGCTTTATGATATGCATCAGCAGACATATTAAAGATGACTTTAAGGATATGACTCAGAATGCTTTCTTTCCAGATGATGATCAAAAAGCTAATAAAATATATGTATACATATGTGTGTGCGTATACATATATACGGGGGTTTTGTTGTTCTTTTTAAGGCGATGCTGGATGTCTACAGCATGACTGCAGGACCTGGAAAAGCTGTTGCTATTATTGATGCACAACACACTGCTAGTACTGGTCTTTATGTATGTTTGTAAATACATTTATACAAAGGTACACGTATAATTTGAATTTTTGAAGACTTTAGCTGTGCTTTCAACATTGGGCAGGAAGAAGGTACCCCGATTTACCGTGTTGAGTTGACACTGTGCAGAAATCAGCAGTCCAGACACATTGCGCTTAATTTTCTTCCCATTTGTACTGGGGTAGTTTCACTCTATTAAATATGTAAGGCCTTATCTATGTGATTACAGAAACTAATCAAAAATTCTCTAACTAAAGGGGTGACGTTTCCACATCCAAAACTCTGGATTACGTGGGCGAGCAGGAACCTCTGCGGTGGCTAGGGTCAGGCACCGTAAAGGAAACAACTCCGGAGCGATAGCGACAGTGAACTAACGACAGACTCGGCCCGGGGGGACGCTGCGGCTGGCTCCGGGTCCATCCTCTCCAGTAAAGGCGCCCTTCCCTAGCGGCCTCGGAGGAAGCGCACTCACTTGACAGAGAGGTGTAATTCAGGCTTTCGGGACTCTGCGATTCCCCCTGGGTCGCCAGCTCTGCGGCCTAGAGCTAGTCTGGACGCGAGGACAGAGCGCGGCTCGGTTGCTGCGGCGACCGGGCGACTTCTCACCCGGAAGCACACGTTCAACGAGCCAATCAGAGGGCTCTCGGGCGGGGCGGCTGCTGCGGGTGAGGTTCTAGGAGGGAGGCCGAGCCCAGCCGGGACCCCGACGGTGGGTGCCGCCTCCTGAGCTCCGCGGCCGGCGACGCTAGGAGCCAGGTACGGCCTAACGTGGCGTGTGCGGGGCCGCGCGGGGCCGGGGTTGCCAGGCCTGCCGCCTCCCGTCTCCAGTGATCACAGCCGAGGACCATCCTGCCCCGATCCGTCCCTGCCTGTCAGCCCCGGGCCAGGGAACCTGGAGCCGCAGAATCCCGGAGCCCCCGGGCTCTGCAGCCGAGGTTGCCCACGCCCGAGGTTGTCCGAGCAGGGTTGGATTGGAGGGGCGCCAGCCCCATTTCCTGTCTGTGGCTGCGTGGCGACCCCAGGGGCTATTTGGGGAGAGGGTTGGAGAACATGTATGATGAAGAAAGGAACCTTGCATGACTAGGTATCTGAATGGAGCTGGGTGATGTATAGTCGTCAGAGATTTGCCTGGGAGGCAAGTGGGTTCAGTTTTCATCACCCCAGCTTGATGGATGCTGTACGTGGAAACCAAACTTGGGTGTGAAACAAAGGATCCTTTTAGAGCCACCCTTAGGTCCGGTGTCTATGGTAAAGAAAGATGAAATCTTCCCAGACTAGATAGATAGTGGAATGTCCCCCTGTGGATTATACAACCTAATCTGTATTCTACACAAAACGTCTGGCTGGAGAATGTAGTGTCGGATGCCACTCTAACCAGTAAATCTTGGTTTCGATTTCTGTGTAAAAAGCACAGCTCAAGTTGAAAATGTAACCTTTTCTGTGTTGGTGTGAGGCAACTATTTGTAAATCAGTACAGAATCGTCTTGCCTTTTTCCGGCCATTTCTCAGTATATGAATTGACCCTGTCTGTGTGGTTTTGGGGATGAAGTGTTTGATGTTTCTTTTCTTCCTAATAATTTTAAAAACGATATGCAGCCAGGTGTGGTGGCGCACGCCTTTGGTGCCAGCATTCGGGATGCAGAAGCAGGCGGATCTCTTTAAGCTCGAGTTCCAAGACTGCCTGGGCTCTGTTACACAGAGATACCCTGTATCAAAAATCAAACAAACAAACGAAAAGAAAAGAAAAAAAGAAGAAAGATATACGCAATTATTGGTGTCCAGAATTAGAGAATTCCGTTTGTGCGGTTCCCTCAGTCACCTGTGAAGCATTCAATGTCATTGTGGTTTTTGTGAGTGTGAGTGAAGGATATACTGCTCTATTTATTTACTTATTTATTGTGGTTTTTTGAGACAGGGTTTCTCTATGTAGCCCCGGACTCCCTTTATAAACCAGGCTGGTCTGGCCTCAAAGTCACAGTGGCCCACCTGCCTCTGCCTCCCAGAGTGCTGGGATCAAAGGTGTGTGCCACCTCACCCAACTTATAGTGCTGTCTTTAGAGAACTTACATTTGATTTTATGATGTTCTTACCTAGGGGAGGGGAAGCTGGAGTTAGAGGAAAGTCGAAATAATTGAGTTTAGTTTCTTTATTTTCCCTCTCTTCTCCCCGCCCCCTTCTCTCTCTCCCCCAAAACTAGGTTTCTCTGTGTAGTCCTGACTGTCCTGGAATTCACTCTGTAGACCAGGCTGGCCTTGAACTCAGAGATCCACCTGCCTCTACTTGGGGAGTGCTGGGACTAAAGGCGCATGTGCCACCACCACCTAGCAAGTTTTAAATTTTCAATTGAAAGAGGACTTTCCTTTGTTTGGTTTGGTAAGATTTCTTTATTTATAGTGGACATTTTTGTGTCCTACTCACCTAGGAGAAACTGTCTTTCCAGAGCTAGCTAATGAACAACTCACCAGGGAACCTGTCATTCATATGAAACCTAACCAATCTTGGGTTCAAATCCCAAACCACTACCTTTTTCTAACTTTCACACTCCAGCTAACTTGTCCCTAACCTAAGTCAGTCTGAAATCAGGTGCCACAGCTCAGGTGAGAGGATGTGGTAGGGGAGGGATAAAGAGGATAAAGTAACCATCTATCAGAAAAAGATTGTTTATGTTGAAAGCTTAACTTAAATACACAGCATTTCACCAAGGCCAGAGAACCTTTTTAAGTATAAATTTTCTGCTCTATTTACCCAAACAAGAAGCAACACTTACTCTTACTCCGCCACAGATACTTTGTGTCATCCTGCCCCTCATAGCTATTGTCAGTGGGGTTTCAATGTAGACAACAAATATCCTTCCCCCACCCACCTCTCCAGACAGTGTCCTGGACTTGCTTTGTAGACCAGGCTGGCTTCGAACTCAGAGAGATCTGCCTGCCTCTGCCTCCTGAGTGCTGGAATTAAAGGCATGTGTCACCACGCCCGGCTTCTCCCCTGAAGTTTTGAGCTACTGCATTTTTCTCTAACGTGAACAACTATAGTAGTTTCCCAACTGAGGGATTGATTTTTCCTCATACATGCTCTGGCCTCATCCAGACATCAGCCCAGTCCTCTGGTTGATGTTCCGAGCTTGAATCCTTTGCATCTGTTGTTGCTGCTACTTAAAATGTTCTTTTCACAAATATTTCATGGTTCATTTTCTCCATTTATTCATGTATCATAGGGTATCTGGAGAGGCATTCATTACCTACTCTATAATAGCCTTATTGTTTCTTTTAAAAATTTTTAGATTTTTTGAAATTGTAATTTCATCGCCCCTGAATCCTTTTCCTTCCTCCAACCCCTCCCTTCTACATCCCTTGCTTTCTCATATTCATGGCCCTCTTTGGTTATTATTGTTGTTACATATGTACATATATACTCCCAAATACAGAAATACAACCTGTTCAGTCTGTATAATGTTGCCTGTCCGTATCTGTATATGATCTCACAGCTGACCCTGTGGTTTTGAATAACCAGTTGGGAGGCTCTTCCCTGAGGAAAACCATTTCTCCCATTCCCAGCATTCCCCAGTTGCTTGCTGTTCCCTGTCTAGGGTTGAGGCCCCTGTAGGCTTTCCTCTTCTGCATTAGTGTCATTGTTCAGGTCTTGTTTAGGAGCCATAGTGATGAGACTTTATGTGTGTAGCCTCTCTGACTTTTCCTGGAGACCAGTCACACAGCAAAATTCCTGTTCCTCTCACTCTTACAGTCTTTCTGTCCCTTTTGGAATGATTCCTGAACCTAGGGTGCAGGAATTGTGTTGTAGGCATAAGTTGGGACTGGGCACCACACAGTCTCTTGTCCTCTGCATTTGGATCGATTGTGATTTTTCTGTAATGGTTTTGTCTGTTGCAAAGAGAGATTTCTTTGATGAGAGATGAGAACTCAAAGTAAAGTGACAAAAGTCAGAGAGGGTCCAGACTCTGATCTCAAGAGATGAAACTGGTAATTTTAAACAACAAAGGATAGACACTCTCCCACAAGAAGGGGGTTTCTGTAAGATGAAAGGGAATACTTAGAAAGAGGCTTGGGGGTGAGGAAGTTAATGCAGCTTCAGGGAGCTGTGTGTGTGTCTGGAGCTTGTCCTTCCTGGCATTGTTTGCTCAGTAGACAAACTTGAGATCTTGAGAGACTAGTTGTCTCAGCAAATCATTTCCTTTCTGTGGCTCGTTGGTAATGGTTTGAGCAAGGCCAGCAGTAATCTCATAGGACTTCTGTTTTTACAACCAAGGCACTCTATCAAGAACGACACTTAATCTGTGCTTATAAATATTTAGAACGTAGTTAGGAATTATGTTAATTTGGTAAAATAGCAGTTGTAAGTTCTCCTCTAAGATCCGTGACTTCACTAACCCTGGGTAGTTAGCTTGGTTTGCCAGTACTAGGCTTGATTTATTTCCCTGTTGTTGATCAGGCATTAATTCCAATTAGAGAGCTGTTTGTTACTAATAAGATATGCTTGCCACTACTATCCCCTTAGGTCACTGTGCCATGCTGGTCGTTGTGTTTCATAGATGTTGAAGCTGGGCAAGCCTTTTTTTTTTTTTTCTTTCCTCTCTAGGAAGCTTGCATGGTACTAACCATCCAGCTTGGGTCCTCTGGGCTCTTTGTCTGAAGTCCATGGTGTCTTTGGCAAAGGGACTTACCTTCCATCTCTGGGGTACAACCATTGCTTTGATGCTATAGTTTGGATTATTTGTCCCCTCAAAAGCTCATGTTGAAATTGATTACCAATATTAGTAGGATTCTTTAAGGGTGATGAGCTAATTAAAAGAGGTTAATACCTCAAGGGAGAGAAACCAGTCTCATGAGATAGTTATTATAAAGCAAAGCAACTCCTTGTGTTTTGACTCTTTAAGCTTTCTTTCCCCTCTTCTGCCCTGCCAAGATCTGGTACAGGACTGATTGTCATCTACTCAGATACAGTGTGCTTTGTACTTCCTGGCCCTCAGAACTGTGAGCCTAAATAAACCTTTAGTCTTTATAAATTACTCAATCTTAGGTATTCTGTTACAGCAGAGGAAAACAGACTAAGACAGTCCTACTCGATTATACTTCTGTTTATTATCTACCTAATATCAGCTAGAAAGTAAGCTTCACAGAGCATTAGTTTTGTCTTAGCTGTTAAATCCCCAAGATCTGGCATGTAAAATTTCAGTAAATAGAGGCTAAAGAGATGGCTCAGAGGTTAAGAGCACTGCCTGAGTTCAGTTCCCAACAACCACTATCTATAATGAGATCTGGTGCCCTCTTCTGGCGTGCAGGTGTACATGCAGACAGAACATTGTATACATAATAAATAAATCTTTTTTAATTTTTTCAATAAATATTTGTAGAATAGATACTTTAATGAGTGAATCTTCATTCTCATATAAATTATTTATCAACCTTCAGTCATTCATATCCCAGTGCATGTTTAATTCTTGCTTTCTGTCAGATATTGCATACGCTAAAGGTACAGTAGCAATGAAAATAGACATAGTTGCTGCCTCCAAAGAGCTTTTTAGGTGTAGGAGGGGAAGACAAAATAAATACTCAATATATACATAAAACCATAAAGGATCTTGAAGAAAAAATACCAAGAGATCTAGTTTTAATTTCCATATATCTTGTGCATTAACCAATTTTGTGCCTGATTGTAATTTCTCATTTCATTTTATTTTAGTGGTAGAGCATGTTTTGCATTATTTATGTCTTTTAAAAATGTATTGAGGTAGTCGGGCATGGTGACACATGCCTTTAATAATCCTAATACTCAGCAGGTAGAGGTAGAAGCAGGCAGATCTCTGTGAGTTCAAGGACATCCTGGTCTACAAATCAAGTTCAAGGACAGCTAGGGCTGTGTATCCCTGTCTCTAAAAACTAATAATAACAAAAAATGTGGTGCGGTTTCTTTTATAGTTAGCATATGGTTTATCCTAGACAACTTTCCATGTATGATTGAACAGCTATTTTGTTGTGAGATGGTATGTCTGTTAGGTCTGTGCTGGTGCTGAAGAATTTCCAGCTAGACGTGGTAGTGCACACTTTTGCTCCCAGCACTCAGGGGGCAGAGGTGGGCTCTCGAGTTGGAGTTTGAGGCCAGCGTTGTCTATAGAATAAGAACCAAGACAGCCAGGACTACATAGAGAAGCTCTGTGGGGAAAACCAAAAAAGACTACTTTCCTTGTTGCTCCCAGCTTGTTCCACCATTATGGAAAGTGGGCAGTACTGTTACTGAATTGTGTATTACCCCACCTATACAGTTGGTGCTTTGTGGATTTGGGTACTTTATTGTTAGGTGCACATAGCCGAGGTGATGTTTGTTTGTTCGTTCTTTTGTTTTTCGAGACAGGGTTTCTGTGTATACTTGGCTGTCCTGGACTCACTTTGTAAAGCAGGCTGGAACTCACAGAGATCCGCCTGATTCTGCCTCCCAGAGTGCTGGGATTATAGGCATGCACCCAGCACTGAGTTGATCCTTTTATTGTTATGATGTATCATAATGATATTCTTGTTGTTGTAGTCTATTCTGTTTGATATTCGTATAGCTAATCTACCCTTCCTGTAGTTTCTGATCCTCATCTTTTCCATTCTTTTGTTTGTATCTTTGAATTTATACTTTATCCTTTAAAAAAGAAATAAGCCTGACAGTCTTTTGATTGGATTGTTTATTCCATTCACATTTATTGTTATTATTGAGATAGTGGGAGTTGTGTATATCATCACATTCTAGTTGTTAACTATATGTCTGTGTATGTTCCTCTTTCCTAATTACTCTGTCCTGCTTTCTTTTTTAATTAACCATCAAATATTTCTTAGTGTATTTTTGATAATTTCTCTAGAGCAGCAGTTTTCAACCTGTGGGCCGCAATCCCAAAAGGGGTTGTATATCAAATATTCTGCATATCAGATATTTATATTATGATTCCTAACAGTAGCAAAATGACGGTTATGAAGTAGCAAGGAAATAATTTTATGGTTGGGAGTCACCACAGCATGAGGAACTGTATGAGAGGGCCGCAGCACAACAAGCTTGAGAACTGCTGTCTAGAGTCTATAAAAGGGCCACAGCGTTAGCCAGGTTGAGAACTACTGCTCTGGAGTCTATTGTATACATCCTTCTGTTTTGCTTTAAGACAGGGTTTCTCTGTGTAGCGCTGGCTGTTCTGGAATTCACTATGTAGACCAAGATAGCCTCAAACTCACAGGTGGATTCCTGCCTCTGCCTCCCAAAAGCTGGGGTTAAAAGCACGTGTGTGTTTAACCTCTCCTATGTCTCTGACGTGCATTCTGTGGTTAAGAAATCTGGGGCTGGAGAGATGGCTCAGTGGTTGCTGGCTGCTCTTCCAGAGGTTCTGAGTTCAATTCCCAGCACCCACATGGTGGCTCACAACCATCTATAATGGAGTCTGATGCCCTCTTCTGTCATACAACTGTACATGCAAATAGAGTGCTCATATATATTAAATAAATAAATATCTAAAAAAGAACTCTGTGCCAGAGAAACTATTAAATATTAGTTCTAAGGTACATGTCTTTGAAAAAAAAAAAAAAAACTAAACAACAAAAAAAAATAAAACCCAACGATGTGAAGTGACTTAGCCATTCTGCTCCTAACTCGGGCCATTTAAACTGTGTATTTTCTTTATTTCTTTAAAGTAGGCTTTATCCATAGCTTTGATCAAAAAAAGGCTACGATATTTATGGTTCATGGTATCTATATTAATTTTTTGTCTTTCAGGTGAAAATGAGTTCTTCAGGAAGAAGAAAAGGCAAGCCCGGCAAAGGGGACGGAAAGGGATCTTCTAGAGGAGGAAGAGGAGGCAGGGGTCACGCAAATAAATCTCACGGGGGCGGAGGAGGTGGTGGTGGCGGCGGCGGCGGCGGCGGTGGCGGCAGTAGAAAGGCCTCAAGTAGAATTTGGGATGATGGAGATGACTTTTGTGTCTTCACTGAATCAAAGCACACATCCAGGTCATTTTGCATTCCTTACAACTTATTCTGTGTGTGTGTTTGTGGGTGCTGGGGTGTGCGTGTGGAGGTCAAAGGACAGCTTGTGGGAGCTGGATTTCTTCTTCTACCGTGTGGGACCCAGGGATCAAACTCAGCTCAGCAGACTTGGTGGCAGGCTCCTTCACCCAGTGGGCCATGTTGCCAGCCCTTCCTTAGCCTTTTAGAATGTTCAGATATGGAAGCAGTTTCAGTTCCTAATATGTGGTACAGCAAATGGTCAAGAAGCTGGTGTGGGTGAGTATTCTGGCCCAGCTAATTGTTCTCAGCTAAAATTCTGGCAGTCCCTCTCTTCACACCTTTTTAAAAGCAGGGTAGTCAGTTATAGCTTTGTTTTTAAGTAGGTTGAATTCTGACCTTAACTACCTTGTAACACTTGTAACAGGGTGTACTGTTACTATTGAGGTAAATATTTCTAGGAAAGTAAATACTAGAAGGGATAAAAGTCCAACAAAATTTAGAATCTTAACTATTCTGTAGACCCCATAGGTTAATGTTAAAATTAAACAGCCCAAAATGAAACCTAACTGTGTCTTTCTAGTTGATGGGTTCCACACTGTCCAGCTAGATCAGCCATCATCTGGTTTTCCTGCGGTGACTAGGAATAGATGGCAGAGCGAACCTTCCCTCATATCCAGCTTTTAATTAACAAATAGACAGAATCCCAGTAAGTCTGATGGCTGTTTAAAAAGTAAATGTAGCTCATGCATGTTATACAGTATAATTATAAAATTCCCATTGACTCCTCAACTGTTCTACATTGTATATGGGATTCTTAGAGGTGGGGAGACTTCATTAGAACCATCACACATACATATATTCACAGGGATAGCTCATCTGAATATTAATATGGAAGGAATGTAAGTGGATGCAAGGTTTGACAATATCATAGACCATACATATTTTTAGCCTAGGTGAGCGCAACTGTATGCATTGAGAAAAGAAGAAAAAAAGAAACAAATAGAATGGAAGTCACTTTTAAATTGGCTACCAGAGGCATTGCTGTAAGGAGTCTTCGGTTGGAGAAACTAAACATGTGTTCTCCATGAGCACTAAAATAGTTGAATCACCAGGTACCCCACGAGAGAATCTGCATGTTTTTCCACTCGCAGAAATAAAATAGAAAATGTTGAGACATTATAGACAATATTAAGAACAATATGTACCTCAAATAATGTCATGAAGGAGCAATGGCAGTTTGGCGGTGGGCGTGGGAGACGAGGAGCCTGGGCTGGTGTAGAACTCACAGCAGCTCTTAGTCCCTCAGCTTCTGCTGGGATTACAGTCGAGACACTGCACCCACCTTCTTCAGAGTAATTTCAAAGTATGTTTCACCTTACCTGCTAGCTAAGACCTGACTTCTCAGTTAAATGCAGATCTTTTGTTTTTCAAAGTACATGCATTGTAGCTCTTAGAATATTACATGTCCAAATATTCATTAGCTATTGGCGACCTTCTATGTTCTGGTAATGTTTTACAGACTAGAGTTGTAACAATAAGTAGAACATTTAGTTATCTTCAGAAAAGATTTTTGAGCTAGAAGGACCATATATGTACCACAGGACAGGAAATGCTGTGAGGTAAAATAGAGGAGAGTAATGTGTGAGGTAATGTGTACACAAAATACTAGAACTGAGTCTCTCTGGTGTGGAAGTCCTCTAAAAAGGTTCATCTGAACCAAGACATGAAGAGAGCGAGTAAGTCAGGAGCCTATCATCCAAGAGAACCGTGAAGGCCCTAAGTCAGGAATACATTGAGAAGGAAATGCCAGGAAGCCATGTGTCAGGAGTAAGTGGGCAATGTCAGTGGGAGCAGAGAACCTGACTGCAGGTGGCCCTGTGGGCCGCGGGAGGAACTCTGGCTCTTGCCTTGACTAATACGGAAAACCACAGAGAGGGCTGAAGCAAATGCATAGGGCATTTCCGTCCCTCCGGCCATGGGTGCAACTCTTCACTAGATGCCTTTCTGACACTCAGAAGAGTGGGTCTCTTCCTTTGGGCCATTACAGCCCTGTGCCAGGTAAGTTGAGATAAATGAGGGTAAGTGCTGGAATGAATCACTGGATGAAACAAGGAGGTTGGGATATAGTGTCCAAATAGAGGGATGGACTTTAAGATCAAGAATGGAGCTAGAGCATGGTGGACCACACCTGCTATCCCAGCACTTGGGAGGTAGAGGGAGCCCAGAGGATCAGCTCAGGTGATCCATGGCAGCATAGCTAGTACACGCTACATGAGACCCTGTCTTTAAAAAAAAAAACAAAAGACAAGAAGGAAGGTAATATGGAGATACGTAAATAAGTGGTCTGTGAGATAGGAGTGCGTGACCCTCCCAAACAAATTTCCAAGAAATGATGAGACAAATTCAGATTGTGAGAATTTCTGTAAGATGGTGGACTGTGCTCTTCAAAAATGTCACTGTTGTGAATAGGCCGGGAACTTTTCAACTTAAAGGAGTTTGGGGAGAATGCTAACTGGTGGCTTAGGGACATCCAGTAACTATTGTAGAAAACCACTCTCCGCATTTGATGCCCTCTGCTGTCAGTGTGAGTACTTGCGAGCTCTGATGAGAGCACCACAGTTTTGCTCATGAGCATGTGATTTTAATTCAGGCCCAGCGACAATAACAAAAGCACAGGAGAGACGCGGCCAAAGTGGAAGCCCAAAGCCAAAGTGACGCTGCACATGACGTCAGAGAACCAGGAGAAAGTGAAAGCCCTTCTGAGAGACCTGCAGGAACAGGGTGCGGACGCGGGATCCGAGTAAAGTATCTTATTTGAGTACATTCTATGCTGAGGAGAACACACTGGCACATTGCTGCTCAGCTTTGGGTATCAGTGTAGAGCAGCAGTTCTCAACCTTCCCAATGCTGCTAACACCGTCCCTCATGTTATGGTGACCCCAACCGTAACATGATTTTTGTTGCTACTTCCTAACTGCAATTTGGCTTCTGTTGTGAATTGTAATGTATGCCACCCCTGTGAGGGTGATCCACAGGCTGAGGACTGCTGGTGTTCAGTCCATTGGGGTTGAACAATTAGCTGAAAGTGAGGTAAGAGAAATACAAGAGCAATCATCCAGCCACAGTTTTAGAGTGAGTATATCTGGCTCCACCCTCAGGAGTAACATGGATTACCTCATCTTTCTTTTTCTCCAGGCCCATGCTTATATAGGTTGTTAGTGCTTTATTGAAAATATTCCAACTAAAAGCTTGCATGAACACGTAAGAGGCTTGTTCTAGAAGCAAATATTGAGGCAAGTTTTTGCTAATACAGCTCAGGCTGGCCTCAGAGTCCCTGCAGTCTTCCTGCCTCAGCTTTCCCACCCATCCCAACCCCCTAGCAAGATAACTTTTTGTTATTCTTTTTCTCCTCTTATGTACATGGGTGTTTTGCCTGCTGGATGTCTGGGCACCCCTTGCTGCTTGTGCCAGAGGAGGCCAGAAGAAAGTGTCAGGCACTTTAGAACTGGAGTCACAGCTGTGCACTGCCATGTGGATGCTGGGAATTGAACCCAGAACCTCTGAAAGAGCAGCCAGTGCTCTGAGCCATCTCTCCAGCCTCTAAATCAAGCTTTAATATTCTGAAGTCCTAGTTGTCTTCCTCTGCCTCTGCATTGCTTCTTTTTTTAAAATTTATCTATTTTTTATTAATTACAGTTTATTCACTTTGTATCCCAGCTGTAGCCCCCTCCCTCATCCCCTTCCATTCCCACACTCCCTCTCTCATCTCTACCCTTGTCCCTCCCCAAGTCCACTGATAGGGGAGGACCTCCTCCCCTTCCATCTGATCCTAGTCTACCAGGTCTCATCAGGACTGGGTGTATTGTCTTCCTCTGTGGCCTGGTAAGGCTGCTCCCTCCTCATGGAGAGGTTAGCAAAGATCCAGCCACTGAGTTCTCGTCAGGGACAGTCCCTGTTCCCATTACTAGGGGACCCACTTGGAGACTGAGCTGCCGTGGGCTACGTCTGTGCAGGGGTCTAGGTTATCTCCGTGCATGGTCCTTCTGCATTGCATCTTAACTCCTGTGTTACATTGTCAGTTGAAGAGGTTCACTCATTTTTTTTGTTTGTTTGCTGAAACCAGGATTCATTTGCCTAGACTCCATCCTCAGCAACTCAATAAGTGAATACATGCTTTGATAGAATTAGTGGCCACTCAGGAATAGAAAACGTTCTGTCCTCTACAAAACTTGTTTGTCTCAGACTCAGAAAAGAGGGTCATATGTTAAACGGGAAAAAAAAAAAAAAAGGCAGGCATAGTAACTATGAATAAGAGGGAGAGATGTAAGCTCTGAGCTTAGGCCACTAGGGTAAAAATTGTGTTGCTCCTTTCTGTGTAACCTTAGTTACCAATCCTATGTGAGGTTTAATTGATTATTTGAAAAATGGGGATTCCATTAATACATATCAGCGTTATTGAAAAGCTAAAAAGAATTTGTTTCTATAAATGACTTTCCACAGAACCTGGTGGTGTGGTGTACCTAAGAATTGTCATTTCCCAAGACAGAAATTAACAGTTCACTATAAGATTAAGCCAGCAGCTGAAGAGCAACCGGGGTCTCATGTCCTCGGCTCTTTGAATTAAATTTTTAGTTCATTTAGTTCATTCAAGAAAAAACTTGCTGAATTTTTCTCTGAAATAAGTAAACATTAATATCCAATACCTGAAAATGTCCTCTTCTCTAGAAGAGACATCTCTGAGGAGGAGGAGGAAGATGACGAGCCTGAGTGTGCTGATGGGCAGTGCTGGCCGGCTGGACAAGGGCCTGCCTTTCTCTATGACTGCAGCCCTTGGGACTATATTGGCCCAGAAGAAGTAGAGTCTCCTACTCCAGAACCTCCAGTCTCACCAGTGGCACTGCAAAAACTTTCCAGGTGACCATTCCTATCATTTACGGAAGTCGAGGCAACTAAGTCACATTATAAACGCAAGCATCTTCTCTGTGGGTGTCCCATCATGGCAGTGCCAGCAGAGCCCAGTAGGCCTAAAAGTGTCTTTTAAGATGGAGGGATTAGTGTTACCAGAGATGCTTTTTCCAAATACAGACTGTAGCTGTCCACACTTACAGCCTCATAGTCGTGTATTTAAGTGAATTTCAGGTCAGTGATGTGAAGACTTTACATAGCGTTTTTGTTACGTTTTACCCTTGGCAGGTATGGTTTCCACACTGAACACTGTCAGCTAGCCCTGAGGATTTGTGATGGAGATGTGGGGGCAGCGCTAGAGCACCTTCTCCAGCAGTGGTTTTCGGAGACCTTTGGAGAGAGGATGAACCTCTCCGAGGCAGCTGTTGAAATAAGCTTGAATGAGTGTGTGGAGCAGAGACAGGAGGAGGCGCTTGCTCTCAAGTCCATCTGTGGAGAAAAATTTATAGAAAGAGTTCAGAACAGAGTCTGGACCATTGGACTGGAGCTGGAATATCTGACAAATAAATTCTGCAAGTCTAAGCAAAAGGAAGGTTCCAAAAATGTACGGGACGCTTCACCTGAAACCTGTAGATTTTACCTCAAAGGAAATTGTAAATTTGGATCAAAATGCAAATTCAAACATGAAGTGCCCCCAAATCAAATCATTGGAAGAACAGAAAGAAACGTAGATGATTCTCATCTTAATACTGAGGACGATACAGCTTTTCTTTACGAGCTTGAGATCCGCTTTTCTAAAGACCACAAATACCCCTACCAAGCTCCCCTTGTGGCATTTTGCTCCACCAATGAGAACCTACCTCTGGTTTGCCGTTTACATATTTCTGAGTTCCTTTATGGCAAGGCCTTGGAATTCGCGGAAACTTCAGAACCTGTTGTATATTCTTTGATAACCCTCTTAGAGGAAGAGTCTGAGATTGTCAAGTTACTAACGCACACTCAGCACAAGTATAGTGCTCCTCCTGTGAACGTCCCTCCGGTACCTTCCGGGACCAGGATAAGTAAACCTGCCTACTGCAAACCAGGGGTCCCAAGTAATTCTTTCCTTTCAAACCAAATTCCAGAAGGTACGTAAAATGTTCATCTTAGGCGCAGGACGGGCTCAGCATTCAGAATGATTAGTTTAAAAGTAAAACATTTTGAGGCTGGATGAGGATTTCTGGTGACCTTGAACATAGAGAGACAGGAACCCCCTGACTGGTCATTGTGCCGGGGGTCCCAGCCGTGATACTTTGGTTGAACCCCCTAGAGAGAAAGTCTGGGGCGATGCATAAGTTGATTGTAACTATACAGAGAATGGGCAGTGCTGGCCAGCTGGATAAGGGCCTGCCCTGTTGCTCACTACAGACTGAGGTCAGAGAGGCCTTAAGACACTTGCTCAGAAAGTTGTTCTCATTTCATTTGGTTTCATGTTTACTTCTTATATATGATATCCACTTCCTCCTGGGTTTTGTTTGTTTGATTGTTTGTTTTTTAGTATTCTAGGCTGGTTAAAAAAAATCAAAATAATGCTGTCTTTATGAATCCTTAAATACAAATGCATATGTAGGCTCCTGGTTTTATCTGGCTTTGTCATGGAGAGTCTTATACCACAAATTCCTCTTGAGCATTCATCAAAGGATTTACTTTCATTTATTGTCTATCTTTCAGGAAAAAATGCAATTTTCCATCTTTCATAAGAGTTTCCTGGGGCTGGAGAGATGGCTCAGTGGTTAAGAGCACGGTCTGCTCTTCCAGAGGTTCTGAGTTCAATTCCCAGCAACCACATGGTGGCTCACAACCATCTATACTGGGATCTGATGCCCTCTTCTGGCATGCAAGTGACCTACACATAGAGCACTCATCTATGTAAAATAAAGAAGAGTTTCCTGGCCAAGGGATAGAGATACATAGTTCAGCAGCTGAGACTGCCCGGCATGCATGAGGTTCTAGGCTTAAACCCCAGCACCTTGGGGGAGGGGTGAATGGAGAGTTTCCTGGTAAATGTCAGTTAAGTACAGAACAGTGTGGTGGATGCTGGATAAGTAGCTAGGTAGACTTCCCAAGCCCCCTACCCACTCCTGCACAAGTTTCTAGTACATGGTATTTGAATGTGTCCCTTGAAAATGGCAAACTATATGTCATAGGAATTTGTTTCTTTTGTTTGGTTGGTTGTTTTTTTTTGCTTGTTTGTTTGTTTTGATTTTTGTTTTTGCTTTTGTTTGGCACGGGGGGAGTTGGTGGTGCCAGGGATTGAACCTCTGGTTTTTCTCATGCCAGGCAAGCATACTAAGCTACACCCCTAGTCTGACTTTTCAGAAATATTACTGAGATGTAATTTAAATACCATAAAATTTACCTGTTTAAAGGATATCATTCAGTAAGTTTTTTTCTTATATATATATTTTTTAATTTTAATTTTTAATTTATTTATTTTATATTCTGGTCATAGCCCCCTCCCTCCTCTCCCCTTGATCCTTCCGTCCCTCCCTGTTTCCCCTTATCTCCCCTCCCCTACTCCTCTTTGAAGGGTAGCCCCACCCACTCACCCTTCTCCCCACCCCAGCTTATCAAGTCACATCAGGACTGAGCACACCCCCTTCCCACTGTGGCCTGTGAGGTGGCCCTACCAGGGGGCAGTCATCTGAAAGCAGGCAACAGAGTCCATGTCAGAGTCAGCCCCTCTTCCCCTTACTAGGGAACTCAAATGAGGACAAGGCTGCCCAGCCTGTACATCTGTGTAGGGGCCTTAGGTCTAGTCCATGCGTGGTCCCTGGTTGGTGCTTCAATCTGCACAGCCCCCTGGGCTCTGTGGGTCTTCTTGTCCCTCTGGATCCTGTCTTCCCTCCATTCCTCCACAGGACTCCCTGCGTTCCACTCAATGTTTGGTTGTGTGTCTCTGCATCTGTTTCCATCAGCTGCTGGCAGAGCCGTTGCACAATCATGACCACTACTGATTACCCTAAAATAGACCTGTACTCATCAGCCCTAATAAGTATTATTCCATAGTCTAAGTTCACAATTTTGCCTATTTTATACATTTCATAGACATGGACTCATATGAGCTGGGCATGGTAGCACATGCCTTTAATCCCAGCACTTGGGAGGCAGAAGCAGATGGATTTCTGTGAGTTTGAGGCCAGCCTAGTCTACAAAGCAAGTCCAAGATAGCCAAGGCTTGATACACAGAGAAACCCTGTCTTGAAAAACAAAAAAGGGATTCATATGGTATAAGCTTTTGGAAGCTAGATTCTTTCACTTAGCATGATGTTTCCAAAGCTCATTCATGTTATTGTATGTATTTACTCCATGTTGTCGTTGAGGGACATTTCATTACATGGATAGACTACATTTTGTTGAACAGTACATCATTTCACAAACATTTGGGTCACTTTATGCCATTGCATTCAGGGTACACTTGCAAGTAGCCGCTAGTAATTCCTTGAATTGAGAGCTTTGTTTTTTTAATCCCAGCACTTGGGAGGCAGAAGCAGATAGAGCTCTGAATTCAAGGCTAGCTTGGTCTACAGAGCAAGTTCCAGGCTACTCGAAAAAAAAACCCTGTCTTGAAAAGCAAACAAGCAAAAGCTTTGTTATTACTTTGATTTAATAGCACCATTTAGTCCTGAGGAAAGCTCTCTTAGCATTTTATGTTCTTGCGTAGAAATAGTATGAAATGAAGGAACCTGTTTCATTGAAGCTTTTTCTCTGTCTTATGATGTTATAGTTGTTACTTTGTCAATGACTGTCTTCCCTTTCCTAAAGAAAGGGCAAATTGAAAATGTTTTCTTCTACTCCATTCAAGGAGAGATATTATCAGACCTGGAGGACGATGCAGATGAGTATGAAGGTCCTATATCAGTAATAGTGGAGAATGAAAGCTATGTGAACTTTAAGAAAAAGAATTACAAAAGATATGACTGGCCGGAAAAGTCCATATATGCTGAGAACGCCAAGATCTGCAGGCAGTTCCAGATGAAACAGGTACGGGAGCAGCACCTCCTGAGGGCTGGGCTACCCATCCTCCTAGCTTCTGGTTCATGCTGAATGGTTGAAATTCCTTCTCTCGCCTCTTCAACCTTCCTTCCTTCTATTTCTCTTCCTTCTTGTTTTGTTGTTGTTGTTGTTTGGCCTTTTGGGACAAGATCTTGCTAGATAGCCACAGTTGTGCGACCACTCTCTCCCTGAGTGGCTCGACTTTTCTGCATGCTGCAGCAAATTTAGGTGCGTGTGCTAGGTGCTCTGGGGACACTCCTCAGCTGGCAAATGCCAGATGTGTGTGTGTACCAAATATTCTCAGAACCGTTTACCTTTGCCGCAGTAATAGCTAATTTAATATTTGAAGGGAATCCTAATGCTGTGAAAGAAAAGAAAATTCATATCTAAGAGGAGTAGGGAAAGACTCATATTTTATTTCATAAGCTACCATTAACAAAATCTCACTCATTCAGTTTTGCTAACAATGCTGGGGTGAAAGCCTGCCAGCTCAGAGAGGCAGAAAAAGCTCCCAGCTGACCTTCCTCCTCAGACAATGGCCCAAAAGAGGGAAACCTCCTTCCCCACACCGTCTCCAAAATCTCTCAAACTCAAATGTCCCTACTTTCTATTTCCTGTGCCAATCTCTGTCCATCCTACTGACTTTCTCTTACTTACTCTCTGTTTTTTCCTATGTTGACTCCCTGTCAACTGGTTGCTTGCTCTTGACCTAGGGTTGACTTATTTAATTCTGTTTATAATACTTAAGCTGAAAGCTCTTGGATTAAAGGTGTGTGCTAGGGCTGAGCTACACCACAACTAGGAACAGGTTTTCCCAGTAAACAATACAATACCGGGGTTCAGAGTGCTATCAGATATCCTGCAACAGCTTAGCTACTGAATGAATTTATGGATTAGATTAAATGATATTTAAGACCCTTCTGTAATTTTTATATTTGTATGTATTATATTAATATCTGTAATGCCCATAGAGCATCAAAATGTATATAATCATACCATAAGAAAATAGTAGAGACATAAAAATTATTTAGTCAATTTAATTATTATGACAGATCTATACAACAAAATTATTTGCAGGAAATTATATTAATATAGTTTTATATTGTCCCAAAGTATAAGTAATTATTCTTTTTCTTTTTTTTTTTTGTTTGTTTTGTTTTGTTTTGTTTTTTGTTTCGTTTTTTGTTTTTTGTTTTTTGTTTTTTGAGACAGGGTTTCTCTGTGTAGCCCTGGCTGTCCTGGAACTCAGTCTGTAGACCAGGCTAGCCATGAACTTTCAGAGCTCTGCCCTCCTCTGCCTCTCAAGTTCTGGGATTAAAGGAGTACAACACTATAGCCCAACTTAAATTTCATTTTTAAATTTTTTAAAGATTATTGTTATTTCTTCATTTGTGTGTATCTGTGTGAGTCTATGTGCCCCACATGTGTGCAGGTACCTTCATAGATCAGAAGATCTAGTTACAGCACCTGAAACTAGACTTAACAATGCTTATGAGCCACCTGGTGTGGGTGCTGAGAACTGAACTCTGGTTCTCTGAAAAGGCAGTACAGGCTTCTAACCACTGAACTGTCTTTCCAAATCTAAAATTTTATTTTTAGTTGACATAATCACACTTGTAAGTATGACATTTCAATACATGGATATGGTATGATTAGGGAGACATTTTGCAATTCTTTGGGAACATTCAAAAAATCCTTTAGCTATTTTGATATATGCCCCCCCCCCCAAAAAAAAATCATTATTTTTAAAGACAGGGTCTCTAGTCCAGCCTGGCCAGAAGTTACTGTGTAGCACAGAATGACACTGAACTTCTCTGTTCGTCCTGCTGCAGCCTTTGCTATGCTATAGAACATTAAAAGTTTCCCTCCTATGTAAGTTTACCCCTATACCTACTAACTGTCCACAATCCATCTTCTCTTCCCCCTAGTACCTGCGTACAATGCAGTGTTCAGAGTATTGACCTTTAGTTGTTAAACTGATTTACATAGTTTACATAGTTCTGTATTTCAAGGGTTCAGTAGCTCCATGTGGCCAGAGTTACTGTTTTGAACAATGCATGTATGAATTGTTCTGTGGACACACAAATTTTTCTTGTACTGCTGACATAAATATTCTCATTGGGAAGGATCGGATACGTGCTAAGCAAGAGGGGTTTATACCTTTCAGTTTATTTAGATATGTAAAACTGTACAGATTCCATTGCTTATAGCCCCCAGCCTTCTATCTGAAGTCCCCTGTGTCAGGCCTGAGATGACTGAACTATGAGAGCAGATTGCTAAAGAAAGCAGAGAGGATGTGCCCCATTGTGGGATTCTAAGTTGAGTTTTGTGAAAGGTAACTGAAAGTAACTCAGCTGCTGCCTTCTCCTTGATTTTTTTTTTTAATTTTATTTTTCTTTTTAGTTACATTTTGTTAACTCTGTGTCCCAGCTGTATCCCGCTCCCTCATTCCCTCCCCAACCCCACACTCCCTCCCTGGTCTCCTCCCTGCCCCTTTCCAAGTCCCCTGATAGGGGAGGACCTCCTCCCCTTTCATTTGACCCTGTTTTATCAGGTATCTTTAGGGCTGGCTGCAAAGTCCTCCTCTATAGCCTAACAGTACTGCTCCTCCCCTGGGGGGGGGGGGATCAAACAGCCTGCCCTTGAGATCCTGTTAGAAATAGTCCGTGTTCCCCTTACTTTGGAAAACTACTTGGTTACTGAGCTACCACGGGCCACATCCGAGCAGAAGTTCTAGGTTATATCCATAGATGGTCCTTGGTTGAGTGTCAGTCTCAGAAAAGACCCTGTGCCTGGATATATTTGGTCCTTGTACAGCTCCTATCCTTTCCATATCATACTAACTTCCCTTCTTTCATATGATTCCCTGTACTCTGCCGAGGGTTTGGTTATGAGTCTTAGTGTCTGCTTTGAAACACTGCTAGGTAGAGTCTTTCAGATGCCTTTTGTGGTAGACTCCTATCATAAGTTCAATGCACATCCCATTTGTCTTTCTAAATGAGGATTAATCACCTTCGCCTGTGTCCACTTTCTTGATTATCTTCTTTAGGTGTGTAGATTTCATTATGTTTATCATATCTTGTAGGTCTATATAAGCGAGTATATACCAAGTTTGTCTTTCTCCTTCTGGGATACTTCACTCAGAATGATCTTTTCTAGATCCCACCACTTGCCTGCAAATTTCATGATTTCCTCCTTTTTGATTGCTGAGTAGTGTTCCATTGTGTAAAAATACCACAATTTCTGTATCCATTCCTCCGTTGATGGATATCTGGGTTGTTTCCAAGTTCTGGCTATTACAAATAAAGCTGCTACGAACATGGTTGAACAAATGTCCTTGTTGTGTACTTGAGCAAATTTTGGGTATATACCTAGGAGTGGTATAGCTGGGTCTTGAGGTAGCACTACTCCTAGTTGTCTGAGAAAGCGCCAGATTGACTTCCAAAGTGGTTGAACCAGTTTACATTCCCACCAGCAATGGAGGAGGGTTCCTTTTTCTCCACAACCTCTCCAGCATGTGCTATCACTTGAGTTTTTCATCTTGGCCATTCTGATGGGTGTAAGGTGAAATCTCAGGGTCATTTTGATTTGCATTTCCCTAATGGCTAATGAGGTTGAGCATTTCTTTAAGTGCTTCTCTGCCATTCGATGTTCCTCTTTCGAGAATTCTCTGTTTAGCTCTGTTCCCCATTTTTTAAGTGGATTACTTGGTTTGCTGCTTTTCTGCTTCTTTAGTTCTTTATATATACTGGATATTAGCCCTCTGTCAGATAAAGGGTTGGTGAAGATTCTTTCCCAATCTGTAGGCTGTCTATTTGTTTTGATGACAGTGTCTTTTGCTTTACAGAAGCTTTTCAGTTTCATGAGGTCCCATTTATTGATTGTTGCTCTTAGAGCCTGTGCTGTTGGTGTTCTGTTCAGGAAGTTGTCTCCTGTGCCAATGAGTTCTAGGCTGTTTCCCACTTTTTTTTCCAACTGATTTAGAGTATCTGGTTTTATGTTGAGGTCCTTGATCCACTTGGACTTTAGTTTTGTGCAGGGTGATAAATATGGATCTATTTTCATTTTTCTAGTAGACATCCAGTTGGTCCAGCACCATTTGTTGAAGATGCTGTCTTTTTTCCATTGAATGGATTTGGCTTCTTTGTCAAATATTGAGTATTCATAGGTGTGTGGGTTTATTTCTGGGTCTTCTATGCGATTCCATTGATCCTCCTTTCTGTTTCTATGCCAATACCATGCAGTTTTTATTACTGTTGCCCTGTAGTACAGCTTGAGATCGGGAATGGAGATACCTCCAGATGATCTGTTGTTGTACAGGATCGTTTTGGAGATTCTGGGTGTTTTGTTTCTCCATATGAAGCTGAGAATCTTTTTTTCAAGGTCTGTAAAGAATTGAGTTGGTATTTTGATGGGAATTGCATTGAATCTGTAGATTGCTTTTGGCAGGATGGCCATTTTCACAATGTTAATCCTACCAATCCATGAGCACGGGAGATCTTTCCATCTTCTGAGATCTTCTTCAATTTCTTTCTTCAAAGACTTGAAGTTTTTCTCAAACAGGTCTTTCACTTGCTTGGTTAGAGTCACACCAAGGTACTTTATGTTATTAGTGGCTATTGTGAAGGGTGTTGTTTCCCTAATTTCTTTCTCAGCCTTTTTGTCTTTGGTATACAAGAGGGCTTCTGATTTTTTTGAGTTGATTTTGTATCCTGCCACTTTGCTGAAGGTGTTAATCAGCTGAAGAAGTTCTCTGGTTGAATCTTTGGGGTCACTCATGTGTACTATCATATCATCTGCAAATAGTGACACTTTGACCTCTTCCTTTCCGATTTGTATCCCCTTGATCTCCTTTAGTTGTCTTATTGCTCTGGCTAGGACTTCAAGTACAATGTTAAAGAGATATGGAGAGAGTGGGCAGCCTTGTCTTGTCCCTGATTTCAGTGGGATTGATTTAAGTTTTTCTCCATTGAGTTTGATGTTGGCTATAGGCTTGCTGTATATTGCCTTTACTATCTTTAGGTATGTGCCTTGTATCCCTGATCTCTCCAAGACTTTAAACATAAATGGGTGTTGGACTTTGTCAAATGCTTTTTCAGCATCTATTCTCCTTGATTTTTATTAGGCTTCCAGACAGTTCCACTCAATTCTGCAAGAAAGACAATTACTACCTGCTTGGGAAGAAAGAGACACCATCCTTAAATTGTTGAGCAAGCACCAAGTGGTTGTCATAAGTGGTATGACCGGGTAAGAAAGTGACTTCCTTCAAGTGCAGCTTTAGTGTACATGTAGGCCAGGAGCGTTGGCTACCACAACCAGGTATGCTTTAAAAGAAAATCTGCAGCTGACGTCACTTGCATGTCTTATTTTCTCTGTCAAATATTAAATGGCATTCAGTAATGATGGTTGTCTTCTGTAGTCTCGGGACCAAATTACAAACACCTAAAAACGGAGCTCAGAAACTCACTCTGTAGATGCATCCTCTTCAACTTAAGTAACATTTTTTTTCCTGTTCTATTCTTTCTATAAAAGCAAATATTAAATTAAGATAAAATAAAATGCAAACATGCATATCCAGGACAACACTCAGGCATAATTTTATTTTTTATTCAGGATTACACAAAGATTTATTATATTTGTGCTAAGACTCAATTAAGATTGTAATTTTATAACTTCAGTTTCTCATGTCTTTTTATTTCAGTCCATTTATAGCCAAATCAAGCCACATCAAAGATAAGAAAATAAAGTGTATTTGTATGGGGCTGTTGTACATACAGGTGTGCATGCTCATGTGTATCGGGGCCACAGGAGGACCTCAGATGTCCTGCTCTATCACTCTCTGCTTTAATCTTTTGACAAGGTCTCACTGGACCTGGAACTAGGCTAGAGGCCAGCAAGCCACATTGTCCATTAAGCTTCTGTCTCCCTCCTTACCCCAACACGGGTTACAGGAGCTTGCACAGCCATGTCCAGCTTTTTGCCTGAGTACTGAGGATTTGGACTCAGGTCTCTGTGCCCCACAGCAAGCACTCTTACCCATGGAACCATCTCTCCAAGCTGCCTAGAATACTTAAACCATAAGCAAGTACTCTCTTTCTCTGGGACCCATATGTAGAGTTCACATCCCCAGAGATCTTAGTTGTGTCTTCTTCATAGCCCTCATTTTATCAATGACATTAGACTGTCATTTGGTGCCCTGTTCCTAGGATGTATCAGGCCTGGGCACTGAGTAGGGAGTCGTCTTAGGCACTGGCTGAGCAGCATGGCTCTAGGGAGCATAGATTCCTTGTTGCCTGTGATTGCTTTGTTAACTAGCCCTTGAAAACTTCATTTTAGGACTCCTTTGTTTTGACATACAGATGTGGAAAAACCACACAGATTCCACAGTTTATTCTGGATAATTCTCTGAATGGGCCGCCTGAGAGGGTGGCGAACATCATCTGTACCCAACCCCGACGAATCTCTGCAGTCTCTGTTGCTGAACGTGTTGCCAAAGAAAGAGCAGAAAGGGTGGGTCTGAGCGTGGGGTACCAGATCCGGTTGGAAAGTGTCAAGGTATGTATCCTCTGCTCACTTCATGGTGATAGGATTCCACTGTTTTCAACGGTAAAGACTGGGAGGGCTGGAGATTGACAGGCTGGTGGGGACGTGGACCTGCCGTTTGTTGATAATCACCATCAGTGGGGTTGAAATCCCTTGAGAAGTATTCTGAGGTAAGAACTCTTATCTGGTTGCACCAAATATGCTTTATATAGGTTTTTAATTCTTTTTTCAGACCTTTTTTAGATTTATTATATAGATATAGATATAGATATACACTTTATTTGTAGTATATTATATTTATATATATATTAATGTTTTGCCTGCATGTATGTCCGTGACCTTGTGCATGCCTGGTGTCTGCAGAGGCCAAAAGACAGCACGGGATCCCCTGGAACTGAGATTATAGATGCTTGTAAGCTGCCATGTAGGTGCTGAGAATCCAGCCTGGGTCCTCCAAAAGAACAAGTGCTAACTGCTGAGCCATCTCTCCTGCCCTTTTTTTTAATTCTTAGTTAGCAGATGTGATCTTGCTGTTAAAGCTGAAGCGAATGTAGACCTGATTTAAACACCCACTTTGAAGAAATGTTTTATAAGCAGGCCTGGTGGCACACACCTTTACTCCCAGCACTTGAGAGGCAGAAGCAGAAGGATCTCTGTGGTCTAGGCCAGCCTGGTCTCCATAGCAAACTCCAGGACACCAAGGACAATGTGCATTCTGTCTCAGAAAGCAAACAAAAGTGTGTATAACAGTACTTGGGTGTTTTTGGGAAGTCTTAAACTTACAGTTTTAATATGGAGAAGAGCATGTATTGCTGACCTTAGATAAAAGCGCCGTACTCTTTTGTCTTAAATGGAGTTGCTGCTGGTCCCGATGCTGTTCGTTCCTGCTCATTCAGTTTGCTTTGCCCGTAGTCTCTTTTTCAAAGTCTCATTAATGTCTGACCGTGCTCTCTTCTTGTAAGTCCTCAGCCACCAGACTGTTGTACTGCACCACAGGCGTGCTGCTGAGGAGGCTGGAAGGAGATGCAACTCTGCAGGGAGTCTCCCACATCATTGTGGATGAAGTTCATGAGAGGACAGAAGAAAGGTAATAGGGAGGTTTTCCTCATGAACACCTGCAAAATGAAGACATGGCTGAAAAATGTTACCTGCTTCCAGTTGAGTTTCATAGACTTAGTGATGAGAGAAATGGCTTTCTGATGTCCAAGATCTGTAGCACAGTTGTTGGAGAGCCTCCTGGGCAACATGCTGTGTCTCTGAGGGTCGGTCCATGTGTGCTGCCTTTGTTCTTTTGATCATGCTGTACGCATTCATTCATGAACTGATAGCACCAACATGAAGTGCCTAGGAGTGTAGTTGCTGGGGATACAAACATAAGTAATTCCTCTCATCTCCACAGTCTGAGAGCAAAAAGAAATGAGAAGCCATGGAAAATGACACCATAAGATATTCAGAGACCACATTTCTGAAGAAATGACTCTAATTAATAAACTGAAATATGAACGGGAATCCCATCTAACAGTTGGGAACAAAGATAGCACAGATGGAAATTCTGCAGTGAGATTGGGCATGGTGAGGCCTGAACTGAGGAGAGCCAATATGGCTGGGGAGTAGTAAGTAAAAGAGAAGACAGCAGGGAGGAGAAGAAATAAGAGCCAAATCTTCAAAAGCCTTATAAATCATAATAAGGCATTTTTAACTTATTTTAATGAATTAGAAATCATTAAAAACCATTTTTTACCATGGGCCTGGTGGTACCTGTGATCCCAGCACTCGGGAGGCAGAGGCAGGTAGATGTCTGCGAGTTCAAGGGCAGCCTGGTCTACAAAGTGAGTCCAGGACAGCCAAGAATATACAGAGAAACCCTGTCTAAATATATATATATATTTTTTATTTATATTTATATTTATATTTATATTTATATTTATATTTATATTTATATTTATATTTATATTTATATTTATAGCCAGGCATGGTGGCACACACCTTTAATCTTAACACTTGGGAGGCAGAGGCAGGCAGATCTATGTGAGTTCAAGGCCAGCCTGGTCTACAAAGTGAGTTCCAAGATAACCAGAACTGTTACACAGAGAAACCCTGTGTCAAAAAAACATACATATATACGTACATACATACATACATAAAATAAAATATTTTTAGAAGCTGAGCAAGGGCCACATAGATACATGATGTTAATCAGTTTGTCATCTAGATGATATGCTAAAACAGTGGCAAATAAGTAGAAAAGAAAGGTTGTAGGGCTTCCAAAAAATAATTATTATAAATATCTGAAAAGAAAAGATCTAAAGTAAACTTAGTGGACTAGAGACACTGAAAATGACATTCTGAAACTTAAGAAAAGATGCACATAATAAAATGTTTCTAAGAATTCAACAGAAGTGGGGCTAGGGGCACATGCTTGTAATCCCAACACTCAAGAGGCAGAAGCAGGCAGAGTTCAAGGCCAGCCTGGTCTACAGAGCAAGTTGTAGGACAGCCTGGGCTACACAGAAACTCTGTCTCCAAAAACCAAACAGAAAATACATGAGCAAAAAGACTGCTACTTTGTTAGAAATCTTTTGTTTTCAAAATGGTTTCTTCTCCTTGAAATATGTGTTTATTTTGTAAGTTAGTAAATTCTCATTGAGCATTTGGTGTGTCCTGAACATTGGTGTGGTAAGCAAAACAACCACAAAATCCTTGTCCTTGAGAACTTTTTTTTTTTGGACAGGGTTTCTCTGTGTAGCATTAGTGGTCCTGAGCTCTCTTTGTAGACTAGGCTGGCCTCCCCTAATGCTGGGATTACAGGCATGTGTCACTGCCCTCGGCTGATGAGAGTTTACATTCTAACTTTGTTAAGGGAGTCCAATAATAAAGTAAATAAGTAAAATATAGAGTGTTAAGTTCTAAGAAGAAAAGGTACACCAGGGGAAAGGGAATAAGAAATGCATGGTGGGAAGTGGGCTTCCTTGGAAATTCTAAGTAGGTTAGCCAAGGAAGGCCTTGCTGGACATGTTTTCAGTAAAGGCTTGAAGGAAACGAGGGGCCATCTGTGTGAATGGCTGGCAGAAACTCATTCTGGCATGTTTCTCGTGCAAAGACCTTGAGCTGCATTCCTCAAGGACAGCAAGAGTGGAGTCCCGAAGCCTGGTAGGCGGGAGAGCAGAAGGAAATGACGGTGGAGTGCAGACCACGCTGCAGAGAGCCATGTTAGTAAGCACTGCTGAGAGTCACGGAAGGATTTTGAGTAGAATGGCACACTGGGCTTGACTGGAAGCAGGGGCCAGCGGTGTTGATCGTAGGTTGCGGGAAGACGGGGCTGGCGTACACCAGTTAAGAGTGTTGATTGGAGTACTGCTATCCCGTAACGTGCATTGTTTTCACTAACAGTAAGCTCAAGAGGGTTGGCGTCATTATCTAGGCTTCTAGCGTATCCTTTTAGCAGCTGCCTGCCGCTCCCTAGACTAGAGACTGTTACCCTTAGCCTCTTCTGGGTCGTTGCTCTTACACACAGTGCCATAATGAAAACCTTTGTATGTGCCTTTTGAATCAGAATGATCAACTTCAGTGATAATGCCTGTTGTATTTTAATTGCTATTGCACTGAATTTAATTGAAGAGGACTGCTGTTTTGTATTTTTAAATTCTGAACTGTTCTCAACCAGGACTGTGGCACATTGAGTTTCACACTTTTCCTCTAAGTTTTAAATCCTGAAATACACAAAAGTCATTAGTTTTCCTATGTTGCATGTGTCCAACATTCAGGTGTCTTTTCTTGTCTCCAGTGACTTCTTACTGCTGGTTTTGAAAGACATCGTGACGCAGAGACCAACCCTCCAGGTCATTCTCATGAGTGCAACCCTGGATGCCGGGCTCTTCTCAAAGTATTTCAGCTACTGCCCAGTTATCACTATACCAGGTATGGAACGCACTGTTCACCAGTCCCATTCCGCTGCTGTGCATCCCTCTAAAGTAGCAAGGGTCACAACTTCAAAGGCATTCAAAACACGAGTATTCCTGCCTTTCTCTAAAGAAGGGGCTCATTTACAACAAAACAGCCCAATAGAAAGCAGCTGGTGAGTAGGTAGTTCATCCACTTGCCAGATTTTACTTTTGTATGTAACCCTTTTAAAGCCTTAGTTCTTAGAATTTCTAACATTCAGTTGTGCACAACATCCAAATGTCTGTTTTTAGGAATAATCTGTCATAAGGAGGGAAGATATGCCTACCTATACCATACTTGTTCACTTAGGAATTGCGCTAAATTTCCACATCCTGGTCTACTCTGAAAAAAAATAAAGTTGGGCCAGGCAGTAAAAGTGCCACACACCTTTAATCCCAGCACTTGGGAGGCAGAGGCAGGTGGATATCTGTGAGTTCAAGTCCAGCCTAGTCTACCAAGTGAGTCCAGGACAGCCAGTGCTACACAGAGAAACCCTGTCTCAAAAAAACATAAGAGAGAGAGAGAGAGAAAGAGAGAGAAAGAGGAAAGAAAGGAAGGAAGGAAGGAAGGAAGGAAGGAAGGAAGGAAGGAAGGAAG